CCCTTTTCTGAAGGGTCTAGGCCCGAAACGTCAGCCTTTCTGCTCCTATGATGCTGCTTGGCCTGCTGTGTTCATCCAGCCCTGCACCTTGTTGTCTCTGAGTGTTTGATGTGTTTGGTTTCTGTCTGTTGTTATTTGAGACTATGTGATAGAGTAGAACAGTGTGAAACACTTTTACAACAAACTTTACTGAGGAATATTTAGCTACACAATAATTTGTAAGAAAATGCTGTATTTTTTTGCAACAAATCTTATTCCTTATCCAAGTGTGACTCACAATTCGCAACGTCACAGAGCGAGTTGGCACATTCTGTTCACCGACAGGGTCTCCACTACCAATAGGAATATTTCTGTGTACCTCGTTTTAAAAATACAAGCACATTAAATCCTGTCACAGAATAGGTTAAATTCATAATTTAAGTTGTTGTTTGTGTCTTTATTTAAATGGACTGATGCAAATGTTTGTATGGACCATGTGCTTTACCAATTTATAAAGAATATTCCAATTCCAGAATAAAATGAAACCTAATGACTTACGCTTTGCTGGAAACAGTGATTGGAACAGCCCTCCCTGCACTGTGTGTCTTCTCAGCCTCAGAGAAGACCCACCCCTTTGCAAATCACAAGTGATTCATATTCCACATGATCCTGAATATAATTGTGAGCAGTCTGGGGTCCCATATCTAAGGAAGGGTTTGCTAGCTTTGGGTGGGGGTGATGCAGAGGAGTTTTACAAGAATGATCCTAGGGATGAAGGGCTTGTCATATGAGGAACGGTTGAGAACTCAGGGTCTGTACTCAATGAAGATTACGATGAGAGGGATCTGATTGAAACTTAAAGAATATGGGAGGCCTGGATAGAGTGAGCATAGTGATGATGTTCCCACTAGTAGGAGTGACTAGGACCTGAGGGCGTAGCCTCAGAGTGAAGGGACTTTGAAACTGAGATGAGGAGGAATTTCTTCAGCCAGAGGGTGGTGAATTTGTGGAACTCATTGCCTTAGATTGCAGACGAGCTGGAGCCAGGGGACTGGCAACAAGTAGCTGACTGGTCTGCGGACTAGCGCCCAGTTATCTATGACAAAGACTTTCTGCCTGCCAACCACTATGTAACTGGCTCTCAGGTGCCTGAACAGATTGGTGATGACTGTTTGGCAGAAGCAATGGATCTCTGGAAAAGGTCAAACTGTGTTTCTTCTCTGCAATTAAAAGCATTTCAAACCCAACGAAAGCTTGTTTATTTTTCCCTCAGCGTTTGCTGTTAGCTGCAGCTCCCAACCAGCAATTCAGAGACTTTATAAAAATGGCCCAGTCATCCTGTACCTTCTGCAAGTGAATGAATGTGGTTGGAAAAGGAGGAACATGGAGCAGTATGCCCTGGTCCCAAAAGGACCACCTCAGGCTCCTTCAAGAAACAATCAAATCATTTAATGTTAATTAATTCCAATGCAAACTAGAGAGATTTATTTCAGAAAATTACATTGTGGATTTATAGTATTTGAGTAACTTGAGGTGTGACATTGCAGATGTAGTGTTTGGGACATTAATAGTGACAACGCTGAGAGCTGCTTCTGTCAAAGAATATAAGCAATTCAAAGGATTTATTTACGTATACTTTAAAAACATTTCACTTAAAATACTGGATTGTGATATTCACACAACCACAAATCCAATACTTGCTCACTCTGCTGCTGACCTCTCATTGCCTTCCCTGGCTCACTGTTCTGTTCCATCACTGTTTACCATTCCCCATTTGGGCAGTGAATGGGATGATGAGCTGGGCATCAGGATGGCGAATGGAGTGATGAGCTGGGCATGACCAGGATGACGGATGGAGTGATGAGCTGTGTGGATTCCGGGGCACTGAGAGGAGTGGGGACTACAGCAATGAATAAAAATGAAGTGCGAGTGTTCCTCAGGCTTATAGTTGTCAGTGATTATGTATTTCCATGTATGGGTTTACTGTATGTTATAGTGCAGTGGCAGGCAATACACAAATTTGAGACAAGGTGGCCTGGGAAGACTCAGGGAAGAGGTGATTTTTAGACTAATCAGTTTGTGATTACCTCACTCCTGGTCCAATTGAAACAGACAGATGAAAGTTTATTTCAGCTTCCCTTACATTTCTTAAGGCAGCCTGTCATTCTTAGAGGGAAATTGTATTCATTACACAGAGACTATTACAGACTATACAGCACATGATGCACCAGTCCAGAGAGAAGCCTCTTATGTTCTTGGATGCAGCACTTCACATTATAGCCTAACAGGTTGACATGAGGAGAGAGACTTAGGAAGCTCTCGAGAAACATCCTGAGAAAGGTCATCAATTACAAGAGTCTGGCCCCAAAGACTGGGCAGCAATGCCACATGGTTAGTGACCTCAGTAGGTGGTCAAGGTCTGTGAATGCATCTTCAATAACCTGCTTAAGCTGCTTAATTCACTACATTCACATCACTCACCCATTAGCAGTCCCTGACAACTAGGACTTAGGCTGAAGATTCAGAGATTCCATCTCTCCCTCATATATTTACCAATGATGCCAACTCCACACCCACCTCATGTACCTCCTGCTATTCAGGCACATGCATATGTAGAATCATACAGTATAGGAGGGCATTTAGTCTGTTATGTGTGTCCCAGCCCTTTGAAAACTATCGAGTTAAACACACTTACCTGCTCTTTCTCGAAATGGATCCTATCCAAATCTAGGATACAATATAGTAATACATAATGCAATTCTCTTTAAAAGTGACACATCTACCATCC